TCATCAAATCCATAAACATAGCTGGAGCATTGGTTAGCCCAAAAGGCATCACTAGAAACTCGTAATGGCCATACCGCGTATGAAATGTCATTTTCGGGATATCCTCCTCCCTTACCCTCAACTGATAATAACCCAATCTCAGGTCTATCTTAGAGAAGCAACAAGACCCCTTCAACTGATCAAACAGATCATCTATACGAGGCATTAGGTACTTGTTCTTAATAGTTACCCGGTTCAACTTCCGGTAGTATATACAAAGTCGCAACGCTCCATCTTTCTTTTTAGCAAAGAGAGCCGACGCTTCCCAAGGTGAAGTACTAGGGCGGATGAAACCCTTATCTAACAATTCCTGGAGTTGAATCTTCAACTCACTCAATTCAGTAGGTACAAATCTATATGGTGCCATAGAAATCGGTGTCGTGCCAGGCACTAAATCAATAAAGAACTCGATCTCTTGGTGAAGTGGTAAACTAGTAAGATCCTCAGGAAAGACATCAGGGTATTCATAAACCACCCTTACAACTTAACCCGGACTTCATCACGCTCACCACCCAAGAAGGTTGCTAGAAGGAAACTAAGTTCACTCTGCCCATGCAGATCATATACCGGTGACAAAACTCTATCCACCCGGTCCCCCAAGAAATAAAAGCAATCAACGCTCAAGGTACATACAGTAACCCTCTAACGGTAGCAATCTATAACAGCCCGATATGAAGATAACCAGTCCATACCCAAAATAACATCAAAACTAGACATGTCAATCAATACAAATACAAATGGAAGTCGACGACTGGCAACCTCTATGTCACAACCCTGACACCCCTGCTTCAAAATAACCTCATCATCAATAGGTGACTCTACAAAGATAAGAGATGCTGGTTGAGCCAACTCTAACCCCAAAATCAATGCAAATGCAGACGAGATAAAAGAATGGGATGCACCCATATCAATCAACACACTAGCAACCGAATTGCAAAACAAGAAAGTACCTCTCACAATGGAAGACGCTGGTACTAATTCTGGCGTAGTAACAGCATACACACGTCCCGTAGGCCTTTGCTCAACCTGCTCGCCTCTCGGAGCATAAGCTTGATACACCAACTGAGCCGAAGAGGCTTTCTGATTGGCCCTCGTGACCTCTGCTGACTGTGCAGGCTGGTGGCTCTGTGTCTGCCTTGAACCAGACGCACCAGACGTGCCACCTAGCTGTGGGCAAAATCTCTTCATGTGCCCCGCCTGCCCACACTGATAACAATTGAGTGACTGCCCTCTCCCTTGATTCTGGCCCTGAGAATGAGCTGAAGATGATGCTGCTCGCTGCCCTCCTCCTCTCTGCGGGCAAGCTAGAAACATGTGGCCCAACTAACCACACTTAAAACAAGTAAAATCTCCCTGACCACCTCTCCTAGAACCCGAACTCGGTACTGGAAAAGTGGACCTCGACTGAGCTCCCTGGGACAATTGGGGGTTAGAACCCCTCTGCCTTTTCCTGTCCCCCTGATTATCCTGACTCCTCCCGGAGCCCCTTGTCCTCTCTTTCTTTGCCTGCATACTAGTCTCTAGATGGGCCGCCGCCGCCTTTACAAGGTGCCCATAGTCCCTAATCATGAATGTGGCCACTCTAAACAAGAGCCCAGTCCTCAATTGCTTCTCAAACTCCAAACAACGACACTCTTTAGTCGCCACTAACTCAGGTGCAAACCTAGGGAGGCTAGTGAATGTGGCCTCAAACTCAGCCACTGGTGTGTTCAACTACACCAATTTAGAGAATTGGTCTCTCAACTTCTCCCTAACCGTTGGAGGTAGAAACTTGTCCTGGAAGGCGTTGACAAAAGCTTCCCAAGTCACCCCAATGCACTTATGTGCATACTTCCACCATTGACCCGCATCCACCGTCAGCTGGAAAGATGCCAAGGTCACCCTTAATTGGTTATCCTCGATGCCAAGCATCTCGAACGTCTTCACTATTTATTATAGCCACTCATCTGCCTTTAGTGGCTCCTTGGGATCACTCGAAAACTCGTCCACACTTGACCAGAAAAACTCTCTCTTCAGAAAAGATGGCCCTACCTCAACTACTTGGGCCTGGACTTGATTCTCAGCTTTGAGAATGTCCTTAGATTCCCGTAATGCTCTGGCCATTTCGTTGGCTAAGTTGCCCATGGCTTGTTGACCAACTGGTTCAGCCACATTGGCTTGGCCAACCCCTTCTTCTTGTGTTGGAATTTCATTCGGTATAGGCACCTCGTGCCTCCTAGGCCTACCACGCCTACCACCATGACCACGTCTTGACATCCTAATGAAGGTAGCACAAGAGATTAACACATTCACAAATGTGCTGAAGCTAACTCACTCGCATCCTAATACATTGGACAATAGTAATTCACCCCATCTAAGCACGTAGTCACATAAACACATACGAATTTCATTTCCGGATAGTGACCGTCCCACGACGTTGCCAGAGTTCCAATTAGAAATGGCAGTGATTAGGTGCCTTTCCAATAGGACTCCTAGAAACCTGTAGACTCGATTAACATCATATACCCAAATGCTTAAGCATACAATATATACTGACACTTCAGCTAAGCGAGACAAACCTATTGTGGTAATAACCACTTTCTATGTACCCAAAGTATTCAAACCCGATACACTCTGATACCAAGTTGTAACTCTCCCTAAAATAATACATTGAATTCAACCCATAAGCAAAAGAAATAATAGAGATAATATGCCTTCATTCATCAAAGTTCGTATACAAATGATTACACATGAGATATACATTCACAAACTGTTCATCATGAATCTACAACATGTGTTACAATGATAAGAGAACTGGAAACTAAACAGGTAATCATATGCCCTATAGGCTTACATCTTTCCAAGCCATTGTTTCGTTACAACAAAAGTGAGCCTAGCCCAATACAGTTAAAGCCCTTGGCTATACGAAAAGAATACAACAAAAGAAAGAAGCTCTTGCTCCCAAAAGTCTCTCCCAACTATTGCCTTGGCAGAGGCATGTCACTAACACCTGAAAATGTTTTTCCCCAAATAGGATGAGTCAAAGCCCAGTAGGAACAATCTACCACAATATATGAGATTTAACGAAGATATAAGTATGACGTGCATTTACAATGCCAATAGTAAAAATTTCATATTCTGTATAGTCATAAAGTACTAAAGTTCATGTCTTATTCCATTTTCCTTCAATTTATTTCAATTCATGAGCCAATTTCATTATCTTTCAACAACCCAACTGAGACTACAACTCAGTGGTTGTCTAATCAACACATTTATCACACAAATACTTCAATCTACCATTTTACGGAAAACTTCGTCCGCGGGATCGGCACCCATGTATACGCGCGGTTTCGGGACTTTCACCAAGGACATTTCGGCCAACTTAATTTCAACGGAGTCCATCCCTTATCTCCTTCCAAAGATGGAGTACATCCCCTTTCTTCTCTCAAACATCATACATATACAATGTATTTAAAAGATAGTCATATTCAAGGACAATCAACAATGGATTAGTTTTAATTCACCTAATCCTCATGCAATTTCTACAACAATCATAGTTATCCTTCACTGATTGCCCAATACAGTTTTTTCTAACTAGGTATTCAATCTCAAGACAGATAATATATTCAAAATTTCCAAAGGTGAGATGTATTACATACCCAACTCCACCATCTATTTCAATATTCGTCCAATTTTATGTTTACAACACCAATTTCATTTATTTATACAAAATAAATATTCGAATCATTTTAGGACAAACTCCCCTTTCTCAAATATCAACCCAAGGCCAAAATCTACTATATTGTAACCATACCATCTTATATTTAAAATCATAACCACTCCCACAACATACACTTAGAAACCTCCCTTTTGATTTTACAACCCAAACCCTAGGTTTGTCCATAATACACCCAAAGCCCACCATTATTGCACAATCATCAAATAATTAACTTAAAAACCATATGAAAGTGTAGAACATCTTTACCTCAAACTTAGAAGACCAAAGCAACAAAGGAGAAACTCTAAAGATGTCGAAATCAACTTCTACTCGGATCAAAACAAAGCTCTTAAGATGTTTTACCTTTTTCTCAAAGGCACTAGGATGAAGATCCTAATGGACCTAGGTGAAATGGTAGAGAGAAGATGAGTTTTAGAGAGATAAACTCAAAATCTAGGTTTTTGGAAAGTTTTAGAGAGAGAGAGATGAATAAAAAAATGATGAAAAAAGTCATTTTTACGGACTGTTGTACACGCAGTCCGCTCGAGCGTAAAAAGTGACGCTCGAGCGTCAAACACAATGTTCTGCTCGAGCGCAAGAAATGACGCTCGAGTGTGGAATACACACTTTCAAGAGTTTTGCAAATGAAGGACATTGCTCGAACTCGAGATTGGCCGCTCGAGCGTCCGCCCGTTCGAGCGCAGAATACACTCTTCTAGCATTTACAGATCTGCAAAAATACTAGGAGTTTACAAATCCTGCTCGAGCAGAGGAGAAAATTTGCAAAGCCCGCTCGAGTGGAGGAGCAAAAATCTAGGCAACATAGGTTTGGAAAATCAAGCAACCAATCTGTTCCAAACACACAACTACTATCCAAATGACCAATCCAATGAACAATAATGGGAATAAGAGATAGACAACAACATTGAACCATGAAACCCGAGTCCGAAACATAATAAAATGTTGGGTCAAAACCGGAGTCGCTATACGCTGCCCTTCAACCCCGTCTGGGCGCTGCTTTGGACTCACCAAGGGGCGCTGCTCCTTGGACCCCCGCGAGCTGACCGGGCAGCTCGATCCCCGACATAGTCAACGAAGTGGCAAACATGATAGGATTAAGAACACAAACTCCTCTACATAGGCACAATTCGGGTTGGATTCACATCTAAAACTCATAGCCTCATTGATATAAAAGATTGAATACAATTACAACTGAAAGAAGTTTTGTCAAACGGGATTGCCAAGAATAAAAACCTAATGGCATTGCTGTTTTGACAAATATGACTGAATTGTCAGTGAGAAATCTTTTACTCCCTCAACTTTTATCCATATTGTGTGCATTGGTGTTTGATTAGTAATTTTCTTGGTAGCCAATGTTTGATTATATTGTTTTTGGTTGAAATACAATATGTAGAAGAATTAGTGACTTGAATGGAACTAAAGTATCTACTTTTCCACCCCTTAGTAACATGAGATACCTGCGGACACTGTAAGTTGGATGCTTCTATATCACTGCCTTAAAAAGAATTTTCAAATGTCCTCCTGGTGACTTGAAATCATGTATGCTTGATCGCATTGCAGGATGTTGACAAGTTGCAACATTATTGGAAGCTTACCAGAGTATCTTGGGACAATGATCAATTTAACAATTTTGTTAGTATATTTTTATACCTTCTCCTCCTCCCCATATTGGCATGTGTAGTAGTAGTAGTTGTAAGTTCTCTTGAAAGAGTTTTTTGGGCCATTGCTAGTTTGATCTGAAATAATTTAATATCATTAAATGTCTAATGAATTACCTATTTTGTGTTCATATGTAATTTATTAAACTTTATATAGCAGTGAAACAACAAAAGTTTTTTACTCTGTAGATTAGATATCTAATGATTCGAGGAACCTCAATTAGCATGTGTTTATGTGCAACTAATAGTGTTAATGTGATGATAAATTCAAATGATTAACCATTTTATAAAATTTAGAATTATGACAAACCAGATAATGTAGAAAAGAAACCTGTATAGACAATGGTTCATAGTACCATGGACAAATGTTTTATAAATCAATTCAAAGATATAGGCATGCCATTGATCAATTGAGAATGTGTTGTTCTGCCAAAAGACTCTATTATGTTGCAAAGATCTTCAATTAATCTTGTTGGGTTGAAAATTTCAATTCATTGTAGTGATTTTCTGTTTCAGAGCTTCCATTTTATTGAAATAAAATTCTTTTCAAAAGTCATTCAATATCTTTTTCTTTATGATCTCTTGCAGAGACCTCAGCTTTAACAAACTAAGTGGAGTAATTCCAAACAATTTCGTTAATCCAAGCGCTTCAATTTCCATGTATGGACTCTTAATTCTTGTTTTTGGTTTCCTTGTGCCAGTTTTGGATGCTAATTCTCTGAAGCCACCAAAATTAAATTCATTAACCGATGACCCTAAACAGATTGGCTTGAAATTTGTCAACTTGAATCTTCTTGCATGTCAGATTAACTCTCTAGTCTTGGACTACATGAGACTAAAATTAGGCTTTGTTCGATCTTATTTTTTTATGGAAAATGAGGATAGTTCCTTCGCATGAGTTATGTAAGTTGAGGATTACGTTCTTCCTTTGGAAATTAGACCTAAAAATGTCAAATTAAAAGGAGTTAGCTGATAACCATAGACCTTTCTTTACTCTATTTTCATTAATTGAATGTCTTCCTCTCCCGAAGACAAGAATACGAGTAATGGTTTGATTTCTATGAGCCAATAAGTAGGGTTTGATTGTTTGAGAGAAGAACAAACTTAGGAAATGATGTGACAATCATCCCCTTTTATATTAATAACATGTAGCTTACAATGGAAGTCTTAAGGCACAAATAAGGAAAGTCCATAATAAGGAAATTATAACTAAATCAAATCAAATCATAACGTAATATTCTAACACTTCCTCTCAAGCTAATGCGTAGATGTCTCTCATTCCCAGTTTGCTTAGAATATCATGAAATATTTTACTCCCCACCCCTTTGGTGAGGATGTCTGCAAGTTGTTCGTTGGACTTCACAAAAGAAGTACATATCATGTCGCTAGTGAGTTTCTCCTTGATGAAGTAGCGATCAATCTTAGCATGCTTTCTCTTGTCATGTTAAATAGGATTGTGAGCTATGTTGATAGCAACCTTATTATCATTGATGGGTTGTTTCACACACCAAAATTAAACACTAAACTATGCCAAATTCCTTAGAATAATGGCAAGTCCACGTATCAATCCACAGGGACAATTGTGAAATTAAACTAATTTAATTGTTAAATTCCTAAATTAATTTTGATTGAAGATGATTGGTTCATAATCTAATGAGAACTAAATTAAGCAAAGCAATTAAACAATTAATTAAAAGTAAGGCTGAAGTACTGATTTTGGAAAAAATCTAGGATAATGAATCCACCACTAGTTACGTAAATAAGGTTTTAATTTGAAAGTCAATTATGTTCTGGTTCGAACGAAATAATATTGCACAACTACAAGTTCAAAGCATTGATCAAGAAAATTATCACGTTCAATGTCTAGGCATGAACCATCTCAAATGGTACGAATCGTTCACGAACCATCTCAAGCGGTACGAATCGTTCGCTCTAAACTACAGTAGCAAAACGGTTCGTCCCTCGTAGTATGGCTCGTCTCATACCTTGAATATGAAAATAGAGAAAACTATTGTATGAAAAGCATTCAACAATCACAGAAAGTAGAATACTTGAAGAGAATACTGAAAAAATATATTTCAAACTTCTTAAGGACCATACAATTGTTCAGACCATTACACAAGACAAAACCAAAAAGAAATCCCTATTTACTTGGTCAGGATTTCATCAAAACTCTAGAAATATAAACCTAGCCACTCATAGAGGAATGGGAAGAGGTAGATGGAGTAGAAGCCACAATGGGAGACATCCTTCACACTTCAAATTTCTTTCTCTTCAAAACCCAAGCCTCCATTTTCCTTGGAAAAATATCAACCCAACCTAATTTTTGTCTTTTTATATCTCCTCTTCTTTTCAACAGGTTTAAAACATCGAGCATGTTTTTCAAGGTACGGCTGCACGTGCGGAAAATGTCACCGCACGTACGGCAGGGGTTCCGTACATGTGGGAAAGCTGGGGAACTGTTTGGCTGCGAGGTAAAGACTGCACGTGCGAGAAGCAATTTTCTTTGCATTTTTGCTCATTTTATGCTCCCACTGTGTACAAACTTGATTAACATTAAACAGGCATAAAATGTATAGTTTGAAAAGCAAGTAAAGTTAAGAGATCATAATTAACGGCCTCAGTGTTTTACAATTCAGTCTTAATCAATCATAATATAGCTGTATGGGGTTTGTCTGGCCAATCCCCAGATCCCTCAATAACAATTTGATCCACAAGAGCTCACACACACCTTGTGCAATAGCTTTAAACTTAGCCTCTGCACCTAACCTAGTCACCACATTCTGTTTCTTACTTCTCTAAGTAATAAGATTGCCTCCCACAAAGATATAGTACTATGATGTAGATCTCCTATTAGTTATTGACCCTACCTAATCAGCATTTGTATAGGCTTCTACACGGAGGTGATCATGTTTGGAAAAATAAAGACATTTTTCCAGGTGAAGATTTCAAGTACCTCAGAATTCTCATAACAGTCGCTAAGTGAATTTCATGAGGAGCATGCATAAACTGGATAACCACACTGACAACAATAACAATATAAAGATGAGAGTGAGATAAGTAAATGAGCTTACCCACTAGTCTGTGATAACTCCCGTAGCCATAGCTGCTCCCCCTTTATCATCACTAAGTTTCTGATTAGGTTCTAGTGGAGTATCACAGGCCTTACATCCAAGCATCCCTGTTTCCTTCAAAAGGTCAAGTACATATTTTATTTGTGAGATGAAAATTCCATCCTTGGTTCCCCAAGTCTTTGATTTCAAGCACACTTGCCAAATACCTTTTCAACAGAGAAATTTCCTCTTCATCATCTCCAGTTAGCACTATGTCATCCACATATATAATAAGAGCAATGGTCTTATCATGTGAGGAATGCTTAACAAACAGAGTATGATCAGCCTGACTCTGTTTGAAGTCATATTTCAGCATTGCTTGAATAAACTTTTCAAACCAGACCCTAGGAGACTGTTTAAGACCGTATAAGGATTTTCGTAGTCGACACAAGCAGAATATCCATATACATCTCTTCTTCCAGGTCACCATGAAGAAAACCATTCTTCACATCAAATTGGTGAAGTAGCCAATTTAGATTAGTTGCAAGAGAAAGAAGCACTCTGACTAAATTCATTTTTGCAACTGGAGCAAATGTCTCTTGGTAGTTCACCCCATAAGTCTGAGTAAAGCCCTTTGCCACAAGTCGAGCCTTATACTGTTTAATTGAACCATCCGCCTTGTGTTTCACTGTGTATATCCATTTGCATCCCACTATTCATTTGCCCCTAGGTAACTCAGTTAAATCCCAAGTGCCATTCTTATGAAGTGCTTTTATTTCCTCCACCATGGTCAATTTCCACTCAGGAATAGCAAGAGCATCGTGAAAATGATTAGGTGTACTAACAGAGGAAATTTTTGACACAAAGGCTTTATATGAAGAGGACAAATGAGAATAAGACACAACGTTAGAAATAGGATGATGAGTACAAGATCTCACACCTTTTCTCTTGGCAATGGGTTTATCAAGATCAATAGGCTCAGACTTAGAGGTAGCAATATCAAGAGTTTCAAGGTTACTTGGACCTTCATCAAAAGGAGGAGACGACAGTGATTGATCAGAAATGGTCTCTTGTATCCAAGTAACTTTCTGTCTTTCTTTATCCCTGACATAGACTTGCCATTCTCTATTCTTGGCAACATCGAATTATGTATTGCTATTAATAGGTACCACTAGTGACTGTACTGGGCCAGGAACAATAGGAGCAACAAGACTCTTTTCACTCCAAGACTCCCCTAAAAAGATGACTGGGACACGGAACAGGACAAGAAGTAGGATTGAGACTCAAAGAATGTGACATCCATAGACACAAACCATTTACGAGAAGGAGGATGATAACATTTGTACCCCTTTTAAGTAGGAGAGTAACCCAAGAACACACACTTAAGAGAAAGAGGATTCAACTTACCCTGAGAACAAGAATGATTGTGAACAAAACATACACAGCTAAAAGTTTTTGAAGGAATGGAAAACAGAGACTCAGAACCTAAGAGAATTTGAAGATGTGCCCTTTTTTGTAGCCCTTGTGTAGGAAGATGGTTAATGAGATAGGCAGTAGTGAGAACGGCCTCGCCCCTAATAGGCCCGAGGTACACTCATACAAAAACACATACAATGGGCCATATCAAGGAGATGACGATTATTGCGCTCGGCAACCCCATTCGGTTGAGGGATGTCAGTGCAAAATGTTTGATGGATAATGCCATAAGTGGAAAAATATTTTGCCAATCCAGAATCAATGTACTCACCCCCATTATCAGAATGTAACACCTTGACAACCGCCCCAAATTGGGTACTAATCATGTTATGGAAGTTTTGAAACACAAAGAAAACCTCATTTTTTTCTTTCATGAGGTACACCTAAGTAGTACGAGAGCAGTCATCTATAAACGTAACAAATCATTGATGACACTTCATTGACATCACACGAAAGGGACCCCAAACATCCAAATGAATTAAAGAAAAAAGAACTGAACTTTTATTATTACTAAGAGCAAAAGAAGCTCGGTGTTGTTTGTCAAGTTGGCATAACTCACAATGAAACTCAGAAACTTTATTTTTGATAAAAACAGAAGGAAATAAATGCCTAAGTAATAAAAAAGATAGATGTCTTAGACGTCGATGCCCCAGCATAAATCTTCCTTGGTAGATGGAGACTAGATGGAATGATGAGTCAGCTTGTCAGTCTGATCTAGGATATAGAGACCATTTTCTGTTCTACCACTGCCAATTGTCTTCTTCGTGATAAGGTCCTAAAAAAGACAAGAATCTGGGAAAAAAGTTACACTACAATGCAGATCCCGAGTAAGACGACTCAATGACAATAGGTTAAGAGAAAAATTAGGAACATGTAAAACAGAAGAAAAAGGTAGAGAAGGGGTGACACAGATTAAACCTTTCCTAGAGATAGAAGAAATAATATCATCAGCAATCCTAGCTTTATCCTAACCAGAGGCTGGTGTATAGTCTGAGAAGAGATCAAAAGACCCAAATATATGATCTGAGGCACTAGAATCAATAATCCATGGCAAGGCCTTATCAGATAGAAAAACACTGGAAGATTAGGCTAAGTTACCTAAATGGGCAAACTAAGAAGAAAGAGAAGATG